AGGAGTTTTCTCTTAACAGGCCTTTCATGCTGCTTTGTCATCCTCCCTTACTCTAAAGAGATCCTCCCTTACTCTAAAAGAGGCAACCCTAACTGCTACTGTAGATTTGGGGCAATGATTTGCTATGGTTTCTTCCTACTGGTTGAGGTTATTGGGGATAGCTGTCAGAGTATCCCTCTAATGGGTCTATCTGAAAGACTTTGAAAGCACAGCAATAATTCCATTCATCTTTTACCATCTTTTTTCTAGTAATTAGTAAACATTTCTTTTCCCATGAGTTAATAATAGGGAAAATCTCTCTGTACTTGTTAGCACACAAATTTATTGGGTAAATTAAAATTTCATCTTAAAAAGCATAATTTTTGGTGGCTTTTGTATTTTCTCTACCACCCAATAATATCTTGTCCTATTTTATTTAGGTATGTTGTGAACACCTTTTAGAATTCTTTCCAGTATTTCTCTTAAACCTTTCATTTTTTCCCTATCTCTCTGTCCCTTTGTCAATTTGGCTTATGTTCCTCATCTCAGTCTTCAGGTAACAATTATGCTAACCAATGAGCTTGCCTAAGTCATAGTAACTATGCTTGTTACAGCTTTGGGGTGAGGCTAGAGCACCTAACACTGAAATTACGACCCCCCAATTTCTCCTCAAGTGTCTGTGGTTCCCACGAGGTGTCGCTCTAGGCTGCCTCACACTGACTTGTATTGTTAATGTCAGGGTGCATTTTTACAGGTAAACCTAAAGTTTGTATTTCGTGCAATAAAATGGTAATGTATAAGAATATGGGCTATTGAAGCAGAGGATTAGAACTTAATAGTTCTGAATAAAGTTTCTGATACTCAGATAGGTATAAGATTATGAAAGGAAATTATGGAATGGTGCCTGGAGTATAGTTATTAATTTACAAATGGAACCTGTTACAGTGAGCAAGTCAAAGTATTAGGTGGCACTTGTCCACCAGGAGAAAGCAGTGTGTTGCCTCCTCTGTGTTCCAGAAGGCTATGAGTACACACAGACTAATGGAAGAGTTCCAAGGAGCAGCTTTGTGATGCCAGTGTGTTCTTTGTAGTAAAATGTAATGCACAGTCAAAGGACAAATGGAAAGAATGAGACAATAAATTATCTGTCAAAAATTTCAACTCCTGTCTTGGAAATTATTCCAGTATAAGCATGAGGTGTGGACCTAATTCCAGAAAGTCTACAGTGAGATAAAGGACACTGATAGTATACTTGTCAGAGCTTGCATCTGTATTCCAAGACAGCAGTTTAATTAGTATCTCACTCTAAATTCTTGTTGTTTCATCGAATTCTCCCATATCTCTAATATAAGCATGAACCAAAAGTCTGCACCTATCCTTATTGTAACCCTCGATAATGTCTTAAGACTATATGAAAAACAAATCACAATTTGCTGCGTGGTAGCAAGGTGGTTCACTGTGTGGTACCTAGCCCATGACATGCTATACTGGCTTTTAGAAATATAATTACCTTTCAGATGTTGATGGAGTATGATTTATAACCAACTGGACTTCAATCCAATCTCTCTCAGATGCAAGGGCAAGGGATTAATGCTCTGTATCATTTCTCCATGGAATGAAAATGGTAGATATCTCACTCTAGATATGAATTACAATGGACCTGGTAATAGAAGGCAGCATTGTCAAGGATCAATTGCCTTGGGAAGTCCTGTATCTTATATGACCCAAGCTGAACTAAAATTAATTGCTAATTGGCAACCACCTATGGGCAAACATGATGGCACTATATAGAGGATCCATATAGCTAATCTAGTAAAAACAATTATCTTCTTTGTCTTCAGCCTTTGCTCACTGATAATCTATGACCGACTCATGACTTACCTTTTGATAATTTATATTAATAAGGAACACATGTAAAAGAGTCCTAAATATTCCTTAATTTGAATATGCTGTGTGTTTATAGCCTTGAGATATGAACACTGTTTCACAGTGATCATTGACTGATACAAATTAACCTTCTTGACATCTTGATCTTTTTATCTAGCTGATTAATACACTGACCTAATTGTATTTAACCCCCAAGATTTTTGCCTTAGTTAGCCCTGGATAATTCAGCTTTGAGAAAACCTTGAGCATTGTATCCTGTTGTTTGGAAATCAAATTCTGATGTCATCCAAGCAAGCCCAGAATGTTAGACAGCAAACTAGGTGTCCATCCTGCAGTCAGAGCCTCTAAGACCAAGGAGCACGCAGGTGATGATTTGACGCACTAGCTCTAGCTCCATGTTTACTTGAGTAAGAACTTTTCATACTGTATTAGAGACGTTACCTGTCAATGAATTATGACGTTTAGAAGACTCTTGTGAAATGATTTGGCATTACATACTGCTGTTCCCAAACATTATAAGCTAGAATTTTGTAAGTTTAGCTAGTCTTTTTTTTTTTTTTTTTTTTTTTTGAGGCAGGATTTCTCTGTGTATCCTTAGCTGTCCTGGAACTTGCTCTGGAGACCAGGCTGGCCTCAAACTCAGAGATCCACCTGCCTCTGTCTCCAGAGTTATGGGATTAAAGATGTTTTCTACCATGCGTGGCTAAGTCTGGCTAGTCTTACACAACATGTTCATACCAGACAACTGAAACCACTGAGGAGGACCCATGACTCCTCAGTCACATAATTTTAAAATCACTTACAAAATTTGTAACAGTTCAACAAATGCAGTAATCCAAGAAACTATTCTTCAAGGGTAACAGGATGTATTTTCTAACCTTTTAATTCACTAATTGTTATTATATACTAATACATATGCATACAATAACAACTAATGAAAAGAGAGACTGTGGATATTAAAGAGAGATAGGGGGATATGTGGGATTATTTGGAAGGAGAAAAGGCAAGAGAGAAGTACTGTAATTAAATTGTTGAATCGATAACTAAAAAATAATGAAGTGTTTTTTACATTATAAATCTAATTTATGTTTTTAATTTTTAAAATTATTGAAAATAGATTCTTCTCTCATATAATAAATACCAACTGCAGTTTCCTCTCCCTCCACTCCTCCAAGCTTCCTCCAGCTCCCTTCTCCCTAAAATCCACTCCCCCTCTGTTTCCTCTTCAGAAAAATACAGGCTTCCAAGGGAAATAAAGTGTATTTTCATCTTAAACAACACACACATACCTCCTAAATTCTCTAGATGAAATTTTCTATATTTACCAGTAGATGGCAGTAATTAACTTTCACATATCTACCTTCCCTCAGATTTGAGGAAAAGTCTATGTGAAAACTTGTTTTCATTTGCCAATGGTACAGATAGTGTTTGTGATAACTTGAAACTTAAATTGTGTAAATATTCTTGTAAAGTAGTTTCAACAAGGCTGA